CTCATTTGAAATGTTTTTTTTCTATTTAGTTGTTTTACTGAATTATTGAATTACTTTTATGCCACTGTAATGTACTCGTCTGTTTTTTTTTCCTATCAAGCCTCTTTGTTTATGTAAAACACTTTGTGCTTTATAAATAAACTTGCTTATACCTGTATCAACTAAAAGTCCATTAAGACAAGAGCTCTTGGCAAGACTGCTTGTTTGGAAAATATTTTGCATGATTTCAGATAATACAACTAAAAAAATAAGACCAAAATACTTTTAGGTAAGATATGCTGATGAAGGTTCTCAGTCATCCAGGTCATAGTCATTCCGTAAAAATAAAAAAAATAAAAATAAAAAATTTAGGTAAGATATAAGATTGTAAGACTTGGTTAGATTGACATTTTTTGCAGTGTGGAGTTCTGCACTTAAATTTTTCTGATGTATAAAACAATCCTGGACTTTGGCAGCATACCTGACATCTAAAATCATCTAACACCAAAAGTTTTAAAAAACTCAGAAGTCTTTTTTTACTGAGAGTTTTAATCTGAGGTTTTTCCAGACATAAAAAAAAGCTTTAAATCATGTTCAGAAAATATGTTTTCTTGTAAATCAGTGCCAGGGTGAACTGTGTATGCATGAGTGGACTGAGCGACCTGAAAACAGCATCAGATGCTGGGGTGTGTGACCTCTCTTAATGAGATGCTAACAGATGTTTCTGGTTGGACTGCGTCCATATGGCAGCAGGAGAGGCTTCCAAAGACCCAATCACTTTGAAACCTCTACATCAATGTCTGTTGTCACCTTCACATTTACATAATACAGGGTGTTTTTAAATGAGGTTGTACTTCTGAGGGTTGAGCTGTCAGTGATTTCTATGAAAGACTGGGCGATGCAGTAACCTCACCCTCTATCTGAATTTAAACTGTTTGCGGAGTTTTATTTTTAACAGTAAAACACTTCATTTTGTGCTACATTTTGGGGAAAAATCCTAATTTTCCATAAGTGCAGACCTGCAGTTTTGTCTGTGATGCCGCCTTCTATTCGTATCTACCGTCTGATATAAAAACAACAGACAGATTCACATCTTTTATTTATGAATCGCCTATTTAAGAAGCATAAGTGACACTTTATTTAATACTCTTATTGTTCTTCAGCAATTAGCTGAGCATGTCTTATGGCAAGTCAGGTTATGTAGGAGTACTAACTCAAAGTGTAATTTTAAAGTACTTTATGAGATAAGGGAAGAAAAAATAAATAAATAATAAACATCTACCACAGGAGATCTGTATTTTTTATAGGGTTGAAACAATTAATCGGATTAATGCTGATTAATCGATTATTGAAAGAATCGTCAACTAATTTAGTAACTGGAGAATAGAGACTCTAAAACAGGCCTTAATCTGATAGAGCAACCCACTTAGAGCAGTAGTTATACCAAAATTGTAAAAAATAATTTGTAAACATTTTGCATTTAAGATAAAAAACTTTTTCGTCTTTCCATACACTCTATCCAGAATTCCTCAAGTGAAAAAGTTTTAGTTTCACCTGGTTTCATTTCTAAAAAAGTCGTCTTTAAGGAAACTTTGGCTCTCCAATTATTAATCGATTAATAGAAAAAATAATCTGCAGATTGATCGATGTGCAGAATTTGCAGCCCTAATTTTTTTTTTTACCAACAATGTGCCATTTGAAGTATTAGGTTTTAAAATGAAGATAAAAGAGAATAAACACTTTTAATGGGTTGCTTAAATATGTTTTTGAAAATTATATTTGAAAACCAACATTATTTCCGCTTAAAAAAAAGATTTTGATAAATAAATTATTAGTCAATTTATTTTTTGAATTAAAAATAACACTCTATAAGAGCCACAAACATTACATGACCTTTTATCGAAATAGGATAATTCCAATAAATATATTGGGAAAAAACATATTTACCCACTTAAAAAATTTTTAAAAGGAAAAAAAATAAAATAAATATATATAAATATATAATTCTCTGAAAGTTACAGTCAGATTATTGATCCAATTATTATTGGGTAATTCTATGTACTTAGTCAGTACAGAAAATGCTTAGCCATGCATTTTTTATGACATCTAGTGTTAAAATAATTAGCTAGCTCTTTGTCTTTTTAAGTGACAAAGGGCCATTGCTGAGTTTCTAAAGAGCCACTTGGGTTCCGGAGCCACAGGTTGAAGACCCCTGTTCCTCCATTACCTACTTCCTTGTATATATTCCTTTTTTTTCTCCTTTTGTCCATCTTTCCTTCCACATATAGTCACTTATTCCATATTTAAAGTCACAATTTCATACTGCATTTTGAATTTCAAAAGGAACAAAAAAGGACTAGAAACTCTGGAAAGTTAAGTCTGATTTTGCTCTCTTGTTTTTGCTCTTTCTGTTGGATTTTTTATTGTCTGTTCCTCCGGCTAATGATAGCTTCTCCGAATGATGACAATGCCAGCAGAGTTCCCTCCTGCCTCTATTCTGGTTTCTATCCTCAATTCATAAACTATAGCCAGGGAAACAATATCTGTCACTCTGAGTGACGGAGCGGTCCGAAAAGACGGTGTTAGAAATGAAAGATATCAGCAACAATTCATCACTTCATCATCACTCTCGCACAAAAAGAGCTTCTTTGTTAGAAATTCATGGGTAGCACTAATGTGTTATCAAGGGGGAAGGAAAAGTAGGAGAAAGACGTAGATCTGGACACACATAGATAATTCCCAAATCAGACATTTATGCTAAACTGACCAGTGGATCAGGTTCCTAATTAGGTCCAAATGAACAATTAGCTGATTGGGTTTAAAAAAGAGCTGTCAGTCAGATGACAAGAGAGCAGGGATGAGCAGAGATAAAAGCAGGGAAGAGAAAGAGACAAAAATATCTGGATGACAGTCCCTCTGGATAGGTAGACACAAGGATAACACATCAACTAAAGAATTTGTGTTTCTTTTTCACACCTTCATGTGTGAGAGCGCATCTTTGTGTCTGCACACAAAACACACACACTGTTGAAGGAAGCGCAACAGGACCATTATTGCCCTTTTAAGTTGCAAGCAGAGAAAGAGTGCATTCGGCTTCTGATTTACTTATACTTAAGCCAAGTGGTTGAGGAACATTAACTCAGTGTGACCTTGTTTGCAGGGAGGAGCTGATGATGGAGGACCTTTCCATTAGCAGACATTGGCTGTGTCCAAACCTCCACCCTAATCACTATATAGTGCCCTATATAGTGGTTATGCCATTTTAAATGAGTATACAAATGTCTACAAGATGAAAAAGTAGTGGACTCGAAATTTCCCACAATGCATCTTGAAAAGTAGTGATCATCCATGGTCAGTCTACAAGCAGATATATACCGGAATGCACTGCGAGGAGAGCTCGCAATGCAAAGCATTATGGGATGTGCTGCTAATAATTGTCTACATAATTGGACTTTATTGATCTCACACTGGGGAAATTTACCTCTGCATTTAACCCATCCCCTTGGGGAGCAGTGGGCTGCCATTTTGCAGCACCCAGGGAGCAGTGTGGGGTTAAGGGTCTTGTTCAGGGACCCAGAGTGCAGGCTATGGGGATCGAACCGAATACTTGCAACTTTCTCAGAGCAAAAGTGCCCTACTCTAACCACTAGGCCAACTTTTTTTTATCCAGTAGACATTCGGACACTAATCTAAAAATGGCGTAACCACTATATAGTGCCCTATATATTGATCAGGGCGGACACTCTGACACAACCAGTGAGTGAGTGAACATACGTCAGAACATGTGGCAAGAGCGAATGCTTGGATTTCATAAACGCAACACGTCCTATTCAGACTGAATGTAGCATATAGATATAAAACCTAGAATTATTTATAAGCAAAATAATAATAATCTGACAATCTATTGTTTTTTACCATAGCAGGGTTAGATAGCTTAGCAGTAACACAGATGTGTATTTACCAGATTATCATTCTGAGTGTTGTAAAAAACATGAAAAAAGTAGATCTATGTAATCATGCTGCAGATCTACATGTTTATTGTTAAAAGTAAATGTTTTATTTACTGACCAAACTGGAACCAGACAATTTTATTTTGCTTAAAATAAAAATATGTGTGAAATCCTGGGGTCTGTTTTTTGCCTCTGAATCTCTCTTAGATGTTCTGCTTTAGCCTCCTCATTTCACAGAACAGTTGCCTATAATTGATCCGCAAACTTGTACTTTTTTTTATTATCATAACTTTATCTTTCTAATATTTTTCCCAAAAAGTTTAAGCATAATTCCTTTCCAAGTATGGTCATTTAATCAATTAGATTAAGCAATAGCTGCTTTAAAACTAGCAAACATTAGTATAGTGACATGGGATGTCAAAACAGCTTCAATGTTGTGTGTTTAAGCAAAGCTTTATGTAAAAAAATGTCATCCAAAGTGGGCAACAGCAAGAGTTTAAAGAAAAAGGTGTCAGTCTGCATGAGGGATGTGGAAAAATAAGCTAGAAAATAACTGGAAATCTACCATAAAAATACATTTCCTAGCAGCGGATATTTTTAACACAAAGATATCAGAGGACGTGCTTTTTAAAATTGAAGACACACACTGTTTCTTCTTTGACAGTCTCCCATTTTGTGTAGGCGGTGCCTATACAGTAAACCCCCATTGCAGCCATACGTCTGCAAACTCACGTACAGAGATGAAAGGATGAACGTATGGAGGCCTAGAGGGTTGGGTGAGATCCAAATAAATCGTTGCAAACCAAGACAAACACTGATCTGTGCGTGACTCAGGGTCAGCCCACCTGTCAGTCTCCCTGTCCTTTCTCTGTCACCCTCTCACATGCAAATGTACACTTTTCCGCCTGATTCCCTCACATAGAGGGATCATTATCTTTGGCACTTTGCAGACACGCCGCCATGACGGGGTTATTATTGTGAAAGGGACGGCACTTAGCTCACTAGCCCTAATTAATAATGCAACCTCTGTGTTTAGGTGTGGGTTCAATGTGTGCGCGGCAGCTCGCTCACCCTCCTTTGATGTAGTCCAGAAAGGTGACTTCAATGTCCACTAGGAATGACAGCAGCGTTACCTGGAAATGATAGGCTGACAGTCAGCGACTGATCCCTGACGGGACAAATAGAGCATTTCTCTAGAATTCAATAAGAACCCAGTTCCATTAAGCTGGATGAAAGAGGCTGCATGAAATGAGGCACAAAAAACGCATTTCAGATCTTTTAATCTCAGCTCAACGCACTGAAAAAAAGAAGCAGTTTAATTTCCTCCTTACCGTTCCAGAGTTTTTATAGTTTTTCTTCTTTCCTTTTTTCTTGGGATTCACCACCTAGAAAGGGAGGAGATCCACGTGTTGAAAAATTTACTCAAGCAGGTGAGCAGGGTTAAAGTTAGATTTTCATTACTCATAAATTCAAATATAATTTTATTTTAAAGTACGAAATAAAAAAGGATATCTCTACTGCAAACTTTAATTATGGAACCTGCAGAAAAAATAGAGGCTGTAAAGAAGAAAGGAAGGAGCGCACACAAGGGAGGAGGAGAGATACAAGAAAGTAAGGAAGGACAGTGAAAAAGGGAAGAGAGGACAAGCAAGGATCCGAGGAAGGAAAGGAGGAAGCATAAAAGCATAAAAAACAGGAAGAAAGAATGAGACAAGGAAGGACATAAGGAGGCATATAGGCAAAATGAAGGAAAGACGGGAAGGACATAGTAATAAAAGTTAAAGAAAACACTAATGTATTTATTCTATTTATTTCTATCACACATTCAGAGGTAAAAAGCATAATTTGTTTCACAGAAGCAGGTATTTAAATACTAAAAAAGCAAGAAAATGTCAAACATATCTCAGAACAGAACTTTACTGAATAATATCAACTAATTGGGCTATAATATGATAATAGTTTGTCACCTTCCATTATTTTTCCCTGATCTGCTTCTTTTCCAGGGGCAAAATTTACCTGATTACTTACATCTGGTTCTCATGCTACTTTTTTTTCTCCTCCAGTAAATAAAATCCTCTAACTATTCTCTCATCCTCTTTTATTTCCTTGCTGTTTTTTTGATTTGGTTTCATTTTATATTGTAAAGACTTTTTTGTCCTTTTGTCCATATGGAAATTTTCTAAAGCCTCCATTCGGCTGCTCTGTTTCACCACAATTGGGCCCAACTACTATAAACGAGGGAGAAAAGAAGGAAGGACACAAGGAGGCATGGGAGGAAGAAGGAAGGACGAAAAAACACAAATAAAGGAAGGAAAGGAAAGATGAAGTCTGGGATAGAAGACGGACTTACACGTGGATGTATGGAAGGAAAGCAGGAAGGACATTAAGGATGAAGAAGTTTCTAAAATTGAATATAAAGCTTTCATTTTTAAAACTTGGGCATCTCAAAGTTGGGATCTCTATCCGATTTGCAAATGGCTATTTGAAGTCAAGATAAATTTGTAAACTATGCCATTTTTTACTTTTAAAAATGTTATATATTACTGCTTAATGAAGCCGATACAACACAGTTAATGAAAAAAATCAAAAACTACTTTCCAAGCGTGAGAGATCAACATTTTAATAGATGTTTTTCCTTGAAAGCTTTTTAACTGGTAGCATCATGGAGCTGCCTTTGAGCACCATGTCACACATCCACTATTAATGTGAATTTACAACACAATCACACCTCAGATGCCTCCCAGAGAAATTAAAGTCAAGCTTTTAATATAGTTACTTTACTATTTTTTTTTTAAGATTATTTGGATGTTGGCCTCAACTAATGTCATCTGAAATAAATCTATCAGGAGTTCGTAAAACATTCAGGTGCTTCAGTAATGCAAAGGAGTCAGACAGAAGCAAAGATGAAACTCCTTTTGAATTCCAAACACTGAATCCTTGCTTCCTGGCCTCATTAAACCACGCCAAGGTTAAACAGAAGGGGAGGGCATAGAGGAAACAACCGACAAAAATGTGGATTTTTTTATGCTTTTCTCCTTGGTTATCTTTGAGAAAGCACCCTAAAGCTGTGTGTGTCCTTGGAGGTGAAACAGAATGTGGTTGTAAAACCAAAATAAACACTCTAAGTGTGTTTTTTCATGCAACTATCACCCTCATATTACACTGAGGGTGTCCCCTCTGTGCTTTCCTGTTTCTTTCCTTTGCTATCCAGTGGAAGCTGACAACCCATTACAGTATTAGAGCATAAAAAAAAAAAAAAAAAAAAAATACAGCATTGATTTTATCTTTCAAGCATCCACTCTATTGTCTATATTTAAAATAAGCAGATAGATTATAAAATAAAGGATCAGCTTTGAAGAAATATGCTCACTCACACTTACCTCATAAACATTAAACTGGCTCTGTCCCATTGAGAGCTCTCTGTAGCTTGTGCTGAACTCTCCAATAAAGTCATGGCTTTATTAAAAAGAGTAAACAAGAAAAACAGATGGTTATTCCTCTGAAAACTCTGACTTTTATACACTCACTCTACTTCAATTAGCTAATATTTTAAACATTTAGTTTTCTGGTCACACTTTAGATTTCTTTAAAAATCACTACTGTCTTTTAACCCTCTAAACAAGCAGCAAATATAAGCAAATGGATGATCACATCTGGTGTTCCTCAAGACTTAATTCTCAGCCCACTTTTATCTGATATCTACAAGGCAAGGCAAGGCAAGGCAAATTTATTTGTATAGCACAATTCAGTACAAAGACAATGCACAGTGCTTTACATGATTAAAATACAGGAAAATAAAACAGAATCAAAGCAAGTAGGGAAAAATAAAAATAAAAAATAAATAAAATCTACATGCTTCTTTTCGAATATATTAGAGCTTTGCATAATTATTTCCTACCTATGACTCACGTGAGTAAATAAATGATTGCAAGATAGTGATTTTATAATGTAATAACATAAATAAGTGGGCAATAATAGGCCGTAAAAAAAAAAATCAAATTTATTTATTTATTTATATTAGACATATATATTATATATTAATATAATATATATATATATTATATATTTATATTAGACATTAGACTGCTGAATGTTGTGTAAAATGGGTTATTTTATTTATATATATATATAAAAATAATAATAAAATTTATGTTAGAACTGTAAATAAACAGTAATATATTTGTATTATTATTTTTTTAATGTATTTATTAATGTTTTTCAAGGCTGCACTTTAAAAAATGAAATTTTCTGGCGCTTTTCTAAATAAAATTTCTTTTTGTTTACATTCATGTATACAAAATGACCGAATAAATCTGTCTAAGTCTAAGTTTATATGGCTAAAATGCAGAAGTTTTTCAATGGTGGGGAAAAACAAATATCCCCTACTACACCCAAAACGCACCATCCACACAGTGAAACATAGCAGTGTGACACTTTTCTTCAGGAGATTTAGGAAAGTAAACGATTTTCTTGAAAGTTTTTCATTTTAATTAATAAAAAAACATGTTTAAAATCATTGTCTTTCTCTCCAAAAGGGAGTTTCGTATAAATCACCACTACAACATATTGAGGTTTTTATGAATGGACAAAAATGCAAAAGAGCTGAGATACGGCAATGTGAACGTCAAACTTTTCTTAAATGTTTCTATTTATAATTACCTGCCATCCCGGTCCCAGTCGTAAACTTCAACCTTGATTGTTCTGGTTGGAAAAAAGCAAAGTTAAAAAATGAAAAATGTTTCTTAAAACTATACAAAGGGGTCAAAGGTGAAATTATTATTATTTTTTTTTTTAGAAAGGAAGAGCCTTTCTGCTTTTTATCTTTAGTCCAAAATGTAATTTACCTGCCCTTATTTATCTTATATAATGCTCTCTTCTCACCTTGAAATGCATTCATTTCTCGATGTCATTATATCTTATAAGGAAATTAGAAAACAAAAATAAAGAGCAGCCTGAAAGGATTTTTGATGCGTGATACTATCTCTCCATCTGCCAATATCTTTCACAGAGGGGTCTCTGACGAAAACAGAAGAATAACTCATAGAGAAAGGAAAGGGGATGAGCAGAAGAATAAAAGTACAAGCATCAAATTATACCAGAAACAGCTTTCTGCACTCAGCCAGAGAAAATGATGAGCCCCTCTGTTCATTTAGTTTGTCATTTTGAGAGAAGACAGCAGAGACAGATCTCCTGTGCTCCACTGTAGAAGTCTGTAACTAGACAGGAATTTCCCGACTGGGTTCCGATCTTACATCTAAGCCATCCTCAAGTGATATCCAATTAGAATCTAACTGCACTTTTCCATTTTGTTCATCTTGTAGAATAAGGAGTGGAAATGTAGGTCCATCAGTGCATTAGGGAGAAAGAAAGATGTACAATAAAGCAGGAGGATGGGCCTGACCAATACCGATAAATTAGACAGATGGTTAGAGTGCTGTCTGTGTTACCCTCTTTGTGCTTTTTATCTGTTTCTATGTGTGGCCAGGTCTCGTTAAAACTGTTTTTCCAAGGAAAGCATCTTTACGTACGAAGCTTTGATGATGCAACATGGAGCTGACAGCGAGTTCACTCATGGCCCCCCTGCACACAGGCATTGTGACCGAATGCGATTTTTGAAGAAAAGAAAGACAGTCCTTTGTTTTTCCAGCTGAGCTCGCCCTTATCTCTAGTCTCAGGCTGCAGACTGGTGTGCACCCGTCTTCGTGCGCTGCGCATACAGCTCGCTGAGTCCCCCACTGATAAGACACAGAGCAACTCAGCTCCACCAGTAAGCTTATTTGACCGAACTTCAGATCAATTCTGCTGTCTGTTAGTTCAACTGAGATAAACCCTGTTGAGAGCTTCTTTGTGCCCTTTTCACCACTAAGCTGGGATCAATTTATTTGTTTTCTAACTTGATAGAGTTGAACTTTGCTTTATGTAACCTGGAAAGAACTTGCGTTCCAAAGAGGAAAACACAGCATTAATCTAAACCGGAAATGCACAACAACACTCTGCTTCCCCGTCCCCACGTGTTGCTGTATATTACAGGTTAGCTGGCTGAAAAATGAAAGAAGTATTTATTTATTTACTACTACATTTCTAAAAGACATGTCCTCACATCTTAGCCATACAGTAGGGTAGGTCTGCTGGTCTGCACTGCATATGGACCGATTTATTCTAGAAAAGCTTCCTAATTAACTCATTTGCAGGGATTATAATCCTCACATTGTTAAGGTCACAAAGAGGAGACAACCAAGGTAATTATTGTTTGAAAATAAAAGACAAAATAATTAAAACTATAACAAAACATTTTTGTTAATTTAAATAAAAATTTAAACCTGAAAAAAAAACTTTAATAAGTGTTTAAAAAGTGTTAAAACTAACTGAATGTGTCTTTATCATAATGCATTAATGGGATGACGATTAATAGACATTTTTTTCACTGTAATGCATATATAAATAGAATTAAAAATATGAAGTCAAAACTACATAAGAATAAAAACTTATGAAAATGTATCATTGGTGGCAGCAGTTAACCATCATATCAGAAAATCAACAGAACCAGAGAAAGTAGAAAAAGGATATGAATGGTAAGAAGAAGCATATCAGTCATTTTTTCATTGCTTTTAAAAGTATTTAGGAAAATGTTTATGTATGTTTTCTGTTGGTCTTATTTGGACATATTCTCTGTTTTTAACTGACCGTTTTTCTTTCCAAAATCCTTCAACGTTGAGAAGTACAAACTGATTTTGAGGGAAGACAGCGCCAATTCATTCTTCGCAAAAATAGAAAATAAGTTTATTCCAAATGTAAAATATATTTGACAACCTTTTAAAAATACAACAAATATCTCAAATTAGTTTGGTGATGTGAAATATTTAACTGTCACAAAAATGACATAAATTAGTCATATGACAGAAGTAAATAGTTTCTCTTACTTAATCACTTGATGCATTCCAAAAAAGAAGAGAACATGTGACAATGTTCTTTCTTTTTTAATAAACAGGCCTTAACAGACTATTTAGTTTTAGGTATAGAATAACAAAAATAAAATAATCAAATAAATCAAACAATATTTATGTAGAGAATAGTTCCAAACTTGAAATTACTGAAAGGCTTTTATTAAAATAAATTAACAGTGATTTAACAAAAAGCAGACATTGTTGATTACCATTCACTGGCTTTAGCATTTATTTAGCGACAAGGGATAAAGAGGCAACATTTTCTTTGCCACTCTTTAAAATGGGAAAAGGCAAGAGAACAGACAGGCTATTTAAGTAAAGCTTTTGTAAGAAAAGAGCTCATTGTTTAACCTTGCAGAGCAGCGGGAAAAAAAAAATCTCAATAGATGACTTTTAGAGAAGTCCAGCAATATTTTAAGGTGGGGTTATAATACATAACAAAAGATGAATTCATTTCCAAGGATTAGGATGTGCTTCAATAGAAAAACAAGCTGCATATGCTGCAATCCCTGCATTTCTTCAGCATTTTAGGCCTGAAAGGTTGTATTTCCTACTTGTTAGGACTCTAAATCCTGGTTATCTTAACAATCTTTAACAATAAGAACCACTGTGGAGCTATTCTAACTCTTCAGTGGCTCTACAGAGAGCTAAAAAATATATGTTTCCCAGCAACAGTGTCTTAAATCCTCAACAGGATTTATATCCGATTTCCTGATTCCTGTTCCTCCTGGGCTAAACATGCAAAGGTCAACTATCCCTCTAGTATCCACTGATCTATGAAGGTATCAGGGTAAATGGGGTGAATAAAAATGCATTAAGTAGCATATTTTTTCTTTTACTTTACAACTAAATTGCTAATCTGTATTGGTTTATCAAACAAAATCCCACTTATAGGAATTAAAGCTAGAAATTGAAATGTGACAGCATGAGAAAATGTTCAACTGACGTGAATACTTGCGACATTAAGGTGCATCAATGTTTACCTGACATTGCTAAAAAGCTGTCACCTCCTCTGGATGTTTCACAGAGCCGACAGGGAAGCTCTCATCCTGCAGCCCAATGAGTTTCATCATCAGTTTGCCAAAGCAAATCAAAGCTAATCGCACCATTTAACTCTGTCTGCACAACCAATAAATGGGATCTCTTTAGTTTGGACAAGGTCCAAACGACTAAATCACACAGCCAGAAAATACCATTAGCGCTTGCCAAAAAGACTGAGGAATCAATCTGAATGCTATTATGGAGATAAGAAGCAGGCTTTTGGATTCTTATAGAGCGCCACACCAGTATGCTGCAGAGGTTGTATTTTCAGTCATTATTTCTGCCCCTGTGGTGAAAATGTTAGCGTATTCCCTCTGTTGGTAATCCTCACCCAATGTAGACCATGCCTTTTCCACATGGTGGGGAACCATATTATTTACTCTCCTTGTTATCATCCTCGCAGTGAAACAGAAACAACAAATGATCATGATCAGCTCTGTCACATAATGACGGCTTCTATCATTTCAAAGTAATTCTATTAATAGCTCAAAAAGGGGCCTTTATGCGGCTATAATGTGGGGTGGTTTTTATAAACACACCAGTCTGAAGAGGCCATTAGCAGGACCCTGCAGCAGATCAATATGGCTACTCAAGGTACATATTACCCTTAAGATTTTGTTTGTGTACTGTTCTGAAAAATATGTGATGGTGATGATGAAGATGCTTGAGGTAGTGGTGATCTAGTACCCATGATGCAGGGAGATTTACCTGTCGTAATCCCCATTGCAAAGAGCTCTGACAGGGATCTTAAAGGCTTGCCACACAGGGTTCAGCGTGTTCTTCACCACCTCAGTCTTGTGGCAGATGGTAAACCTGTAGAGAAATAACAACAAGTAAAAAGTGGTAAACATGACCAGATATGACCAAAATTTGACAGTTTTTATCTTAATTGGCACGACTTACCAGCTGGATAATAACTAAACAACCCAAATCTAAGGCTGTGTCCGAATGTCCGCCCTAATCACTAAATAGGGCACTGTATAGTGGTTACATCCTTTTATATGAGTTTTACTATGTCTAGTGCAGGGATTAGCAACCCAAAATACTCAAAGAGCCATATTGGACCAAAAAAACAGCAAATAAATCTGTCTGGGGCCACAAAAATATAAAAGTCTTCTAAATGCCTTGCATACACTTAAAGCCTGCAACACAGGTTCTAAGTGTATTATCCCACTATAGAAAATTACTATCTGGGCTTAAATGTATAATAAGCATTCATGATTAAATGTTTACCCCCTGAGCAAATGTAAATAGCAGCATAAAGGTGCGAGAGGAGCAGTGAACGCTCTCACTGCGTGGAATTCACTGCCCTTCACCTCACGATTTAAGTTTTGTTGTATTGATGAAATTATAGAAACACGATAAAGAAATCTTTCTATGGTGGACGTGTTTCTATTGGGAGCAGTTGATTGAGTCATGAGGAAAAAAGCAGAAACTGACATCCATCAGAGCAGAGCTCTGTCACCCTGAAATCCCACATCCTCCGTCACCAGCGTTCCTTGGTGAGATTTATATTTTTGGGATTTGGGGAAAAAAATGGAATAACATAGCTGCATCAGAGCACTACCTGTTTGATCTGTGGATGGTTTTTAATCCTTGCAACCAAACTAACAGCAGTAGTGGAGTTTGGAGATGCAATCCACTTCTTAAATCTATCTTTGCTCTCCTAATTTATCCAGAAATTCTGCAGTTGCACTTTTTGGTGGTCGGCTGCATATTTAGCCTTCCCTGGAAATACCTTTCCAATTTTTTCTTTTTATTTTTTGACAACCTCTCATTACAAAGCATAAATGCAGGCAATCCTTTATGGGGCCAAAATGGTAGCTTTAATATTTGCAAATGTGTGTGGAGAGTTGTGTGTCTGTACAACAATCTGCAAATGTGTAAAACTACTTGTGTGTAATCCGTTTTGCAAATGTGTAAAAAAATCCACAAATCTGTATTCAGATCTGCAAATCTGTAAGCACACACAGAGACACTTGTGTCTGAAGTATTTTTGCTTCAAGACCCGGCAGCATGTGAGCCTGCGCAAGGGGTTACAAATCGCGAAAATA